CATATTTTATGCTTCTGAGCAATTAATGTTATTTTTTACAGCTATTTTCTAAAATACCTGAGAGCAGATTTTCTGCTGCTAGTGCTCCATTGGCTGCAATTTACACTGAAGCAACTAGCCCCAATTAAGCTGGAATATTAACATGCCTGAAAGCTACAGTCTGGAGTAAGGAGAAAGCAGAACTGAACTGCCAGAGGATCTAAGGAACTAAAGCTGTCAATTTATTCAGTGCTAGACAAGAAATAGGTGCATATCTTGTAACATCTTCACCAAAAAAAAAACCTTCAGAAAGCAATACAATCTGTCTATTTGCTGCATGCATCCCTAGAAAATTTTATTGAATCAGTATATTAAAAATGAAGCGTTTCCCTATTTAGAACGATAACAACATTGCAGGTGAGATCTGGCCAAACACATACCATAGTTAAAGACAGGCTTTCTGCTGATTTCGAAGGACTGAGAAACTGCTCATAAGCAGAGACATGGAAATAGCCCTTATACATGCATACAAATCTATATACATACCTATATGGCAGTTACCCATATATGAAAAGAGAGTACATTGTAGGGAGAAAAAGAGGGAGAGGGAGACAGAGAGCCCCAGGGTAACCTAAATGAACATTTAGGTTATCACTGATTGTTTTTTGTCTGACCTTATTAACATTCAGCTAAGCAGAAGATTGGGCTGGATTTTAACCACAGTAGCTTCTACACATCGCCAGTGTAAGACGAGAGGTCCAGAACAACTCGTAGTAGGAGCAGTGACTTGGGCTCCAAGCTAGGGTGCCCTGTATCGCGGGACTTATTGCCCTCTACTGACAATATAAGGAGCTCTAGCAACTGGCAAAGGATCCTGGGTTGGCTTTCTGTGCAAAAACATGAGCCCTTCCTACAGAGTCTGAGCTGGAGCAAAATTTAGACTTACCCATACACAGTTTTGGGAAATGCTAAAGACATACCCAACAACTCCAGGACAGGCTGCAATTTTCAAATGAAAGTGGTAGCCATAAATTGACAGTCTTCATCTGTTCTGACCCATAAACCACTCATCACTCTCTCTCATTTCTACTGTACAGGAAAATGAAGAAATCACAAGAGAGAGCTTTCGGTTTAATTTTTTTTTTTTTTTTTTTTGCAGGGTCAGGCTGATGACAGGAACATCTGGCAATTGCAAGTGGCATACTTCTAATAGCTACCTAGGAGATGAGGTGTGAGAAGCACTATTACTCAGCTGAGACCTAAAAAATTGACTAGACATGTTCAGGAAAAAGAAAAAATCACAAGAGAGAGCTTTCGGTTTATTTTTTTTTTTTTTTTTTGCAGGGTCAGGCTGATGACAGGAACATCTGGCAATTGCAAGTGGCATACTTCTAATAGCTACCTAGGAGATGAGGTGTGAGAAGCACTATTACTCAGCTGAGACCTAAAAAATTGACTAGACATGACAGAAGAGAGAATCATAGCTTTTAATTACATCCAGTTGTTACTTTGGAAATAAAATAACAAGCCTTAGTGATGGCTTGATTATCATATTGGCATCCTGTCATCTCATAATCCATTTAAGAGTAAAATTGTTGATAGCCTGGTATTTAGTGTTTATCTACTGTGTATTTTAAGGTTATTGAATTACACTCATCTGTAGTGTAAGTGACAAAGCGCAAACTACATTCTACTTAATCTCTGGACAGGTGTTGGAAAGAAGGCCAAATAGTGACATATTTATCAACACCTCTGCTTAGAATTCTTTGCAAGTGATGTATTTTCCACATCAGCCAAAGCCATTTACTCCTAACACTCTGCCTGTTAGAATAGAATCATCTTCAGTACTACTAAAATAGAAAGTTACATTTTTTTTAATCATCAAGGAAGATAAATCACTCCAATGAAGGAGCAGGAAAAAATGTATGCCATTTCAAATTAATGCATTATCAGCCAAAATAAGTGCTTTTCTTATCATGCTTGTTTTCTGACCTCTTGGTGCCCTATAATTACATTGTAAATGAAAGAAAAATGCTGATATATGAAAAAGAATATTATCCTTTTCTCAACCACTAATGGAACTTCTGTCACCCTCTGACCAACAAACTTAATCTTAAATTGGTGGAAAGCAATCTTTTAAGTACCATTCACATCTGCAAAGCGTCTTATCTATTTTTCACTTTGTAAACTTTATATAATGTGGTTCATTTGCAGGCATCTGAAAACAACACAAATTGAAACAAAACTAGGTAAGAATTCTGCCCAACAAAACCCTCAGTGTGCCTCAAAACCATACATTGCCTCAGTCTGTCTCTAGTACTTCCAGTCCAAGCATTCAAATATAATGAAACATCCTCAAACTCCAGTAGACAAAAAAAAAAAAAAAAAAAAAACACCCAAAACAAAGAAACAAAAAAACCCTGAGATGTTTTAAATATTATTTTAATTTTTTGAAGGTCTGGATAGTACTTGGGTCATGCTGTCACAGTTTTTGAGAAAACCATGGAACTGCACTTTTTGCAAATTAAAACTGAGGTCCTCATATTTACAAAACAGTTTAGGTAATATGGCTTTCTGAAAAAGTGTCAAATATAGAATACAAAAGCAAAGAATTTCAAAATCAAGGGCATATCTTCATATCACCACCACATTTCATAACATATCTCCTTGGTATATCTACACCTTCCAAGAGTTGGAATTATAGCCATAGTATACAGTGTCATTATTTATGCAATTAATTTTGAGGTTGTGAATCCTGAACTCAGCTTCTAAAATTCTGACATCTTTAAAATATTTGCATCTTTAAATGCATAAGAAGCTTCTTATGCACTAAAGCATAAGAAAAAAATATTTATTGTTGCAACCTTAGGTCTTCCCAAGATTTTGCATTTCCATGTACAATTTTCCTAAAATGATTACTTTCTTTGAATTAAAGAAATAAAGATAAGACCTCTTAGAAGGAGGTGTGACTTGAAGTGACATTCTTTTGTGAAAAAATGGCTCTAAAAAGTTTTGTGAAGCTCAGTGCTAATGGTGTGTTAATTATATCTAGTTGACTACTAACTGGCTATTAAATTTTCCTTAGGTTATTAATGACCCACCTCAGACCTTCAAAGGCAATTTTATAGCCTGTTTACATAGTCTGAAGATGGTGGCATTTGGAGACTTCCATCACATTCTGGTGAGTAGCAGGCAGGTAATCAGTTATGCTGTTAATGGAAGAATAAGGTCCATGCCAAATTAAAAAAAAAAAGGAGAGCATGAATCCTCCACCTGTATGAAATGTAGTACCAACTGCTGCCAAGGTTGCTCTGGCAACCTTGATATATGGACCTCTGGTTCATTGATATATATGGAGCTGTGGAAGGCCAGGCTCTTAAATACCTATATTGAACTACCAAGGAAGGGGAAGAATCATCCAAAAAGGCAGGATAAATATATTGACTTTATAGAAAGGCAAATAAATATCAGAAGACATGTTCAGCCATGGAACTTCTCATTCTTATTTGCCATTGAGAACACAAATGACATCCAAAGAGAATGATCATCTGGGGAAAAACTTGTAACCAAACGGAATGTTTTCTGGGAAAACATCAAACAGGGAAAAACAAAACAAAACAAAACAAAAAACAAAACACCAAACTCAGAACAAAACAAAGAAAGAGACAGAAGGTCTCAGTTAAAAGCCAAATTGTTAACCCTTGCAAAAACCTCCTTTTTGTTCATATTGGGAGATAAAACCATCACAGATAAAATCATCACAGTTAAATGTGCAGCTTTCATTCTGCTGTCTATTTACAGCCAGAAGTTTCTCCCTCACTAAAGCTTCTGCATTTTAAAGGCCTGATCAATAGCATAATGCAAAACTTTACTCTAAATTTAATTCAAAGCTTCTGAAGCATATTTTACCATTTTCATAAACTAATGTCCTAATTTTTTCTCTTCTCAGAATTATTTAATAAAGCAATGAATATAATTCAATTTTGTCATGCTTCTTTATCAATACTTTGTAATCTTCACCCAGACAGACAAGCTCTGAATTTAAAGAGAGTATTTTAATTCAGAGGATTTTTCTCTGAAAGTAGTGGTTGATCTTAATATATTACTGTCTCATATGCCTATACCATGGTCAGATAGGAGAAAATAAATCCACTTTCAATCCAGCCCCAAAATACATTATTGCAATTGCCTATATCTTTATGCAATGTTGTTTATGGCAAGTGCCTGTCTCTTAATTCCATAACCTGTTCCCAGGATATCCCTCAGGAAATTCAAGATGAAATATATAACTATATTCTTTTGGTTTTTGTTGGTTTTGTGAAAGTAAAGAAATGTTGCCCAGAAATTGGAGCAGGCACAAGGAAAAAGCTGGAGAAACCTGACAATTATTTTACGTTTTTTATATTATTACCTCATCTTCCATCTTCAAGGACAATTCTCTAGTTCGTATAGTGCAGAAGAAAATAAAACCTTTGATAACCCAAAGCAAGCATTTCTAGCACATTTCCCTGTGCTGATAGAGACTCAGAAACTCTAGGGCTAAGAAGTGAACTCACGTATTTGGATCTGCTATAATTTGGATTCTATTCATGCATTATATATTACTAAAGTTAAATAGACTATTGGTTAACATGGTCTATCTAGAGAACAAGAAATTAAGAGAGGTATCAAAATCACATGGTAAATTTGCAGGCAGTGAGAGATTGTTGTCATTTTCTTCAAAAAGCTGCATAGAAAATGGAACAAAAGGGAGGAATCATTTTCATGTGACTGCCAAGTACAGATTATCAATAATGATACACAAATACATATGGATAAATATTATATAGGCATATATAAAATGTACAACATATTTATGTATAATGCAGAAATACTGAAAAGCACAAGAAAAGTTGTATCTGGACAAAAATATTTCACAGAAACAATGACATGGACAGAATAAGTCAAATTAGCCAAAATACATATATTTAAGTTTTTATTTTCCCTTCTGGAGTGCTTGATGCAAAACCCACCAAGAGAGTTCTATTGAGTCAGAGCTCAGTTATCATCTCAGTGGAAAAAGGGTATCAGAGACATAGAAATGTCATTCAGAATTAATGTCTTAACAAACACACAGGCCTCTATGTCTGAATATTAAGATGGAATATTCAAGTCAAGGTTTCTTAAGACTCTGGTTAAACACACAAACCCCAGATGATTACTGGCCACTATGAAACCCAAGGCCTCTATAAGTTAATTAAGACCAACTGTTTTGAGATGGATGGCTGAAAGTGTTCAAGATTAACTCAAGATTTTCTGGGAGACTTCTTATGTTAATTACAAGAATGTTCTGCATGAATAGGAAGTCATGACTTCTTTGGCTTTTTCCTACAGAAGTCACTGTTTCCGTCATTAGGACTGCTAATATACTAAGAATCCATGTTGATGGCAGTCATCCACATTCTTTCTTTGCATGGTCAATGCACCTGCATTTAATTATTAAATTTAAAATCCTTCTATTTTTTTAAGATATTAGGTTTGCAAGGCAAGGTTTTGGTAGTGGCAGGGCTTCAGAGGTGGCTTCTGTAAGAAGCTGCTAGAAGCTTCCCCAATGTTGGAGAGAGTCAATGCAAGCCAGCTCCAAGGCCAAGTCCATCAGTGATGATGGTAATGTCTCTGTGATGATGTATTTAAGAAGGGGGGGGGGGGAACTGTGACACAGCGGCAGTGGAGAGAGAAGTAAGAGTATGTGAGAGAAACAACTCTGCAGACACCAAGGACAGTGAAGAAGGAGAAGGTGTTCCAGATGCCATAGAAGAGATTTCCCTGTGGACCATGGTGAACACCACAGTGAGGCAGACTGTCCCCCTGCAGCTCATCGAGGTTAATGGTGGAGCAGACATCCACCTGCAGCCTGTGGAGGACCACACGTCAGAGCATGAGGATGCTGAGACCCATGGAGATCCTGTGAAGGAGCATAAAAAAGACATTGAGGTGCTGGAGCGGGTCCAGAGAAGGGCGACAAAGATGGTGAGGGGTCTGGAGAATAAGTCTTATGAGGAGAGGCTGAGGGAACTGGGGTTATTCAGCCTGGAGAAGAGGAGGCTGAGGGAAGACCTTATTGCTCTCTACAACTACCTGAAAGGAGGGTGTAGAGAGATGGGGGTCGGTCTCTTTTCTCAAGTCACAGGCGACAGGACAAGAGGAAATGGCCTCAAGTTGCGCCATGGGAGGTTCAGGCTGGATATTAGGAAAAATTTTTTCACTGAAGGGGTTATCAGCCATTGGAATGGGCTCCCCAGGGAGGTGGTTGAGGCACCATCCCTGGAGGTGTTCAAAAGACGGGTTCATGTAGTGCTGGGAGGTATGGTTTAGTGATGATGCTCCTTGTTTGTTGTGTGGGTGTCTATTTTTGTCAGTTAGGTTGACGGTTGGACAAGATGATCTTTAAGGTCCCTTCCAACCTAGAAGATTCTGTGATTCTGTGATTCTGTGATCATCTGGACATCAGCAGCAATAAGAAAATGTAAGACAGTTCTAGATATCAGCATTTTTGGTACCCCTTTCTTTTGCCTACATAGACACAAAATTTCTGTCATAAGACCAAGAAATTTTAGACAGCTTAAGACAAAAAGAGCTGACATGAAAGAGCTCATGATAACTATATACTTTTGCTCATATCTTAGGACAAAGAAGGCAAAGTTTTTCTTTGTTAATCTTTATTCCTGCAGTAGAACTCTGAGCAAACTTTATATGCTCATTACAGGAGAACCAAAGATAATTTGTCCTGACCCTTTGTTCTAATTTAAAAGATGACTTCCACTTATTTATTTTGAAGTACTGTTATTTTACCCTTGGGATAAGAGATGAACGAAATCCAAAGGTCCTAATTCAGGGCTTATTGACTTCAGTGGCCTCTTTTCCTCAGACTTTACTGGAAGTCTTTGGCACACTGAAATCATTACCCTGAAACATTTACTGTGCAGAAATAATTCTGTCAGAGACACCAAGTAATTTCCATAGGATGATTAAAACCTGCTTAATTTCATCATATGAGCAAGTTTGAGTTTGATATAATTGTAGTAACTGGAACAGCAGTGGTTATCAAAGTGGATTAATGGGCTTCGGGGAGTCACTGTCAACTTTGAAATGGGTGGCTCATCTTAACAACTTCCTATGTGTAAAGGCATATCCCATATTTGTGAATATAAACCAGAAAGTATCCAGATAACAGAAAAAAAATATATTACAATGTTGACTAACACTGAAAAATCAAGGTAAAAAAGGAAAATGTATAGTTAAAAGAAAACTGTTTTCATTTCAAATCAAACATCAGTTTAAATTTTTTAAAGCTTTGTTAGTCACAGCTTCATAAAAGCTGTACTTTTTAAGTTGACTATGTCACCTCATTCAGCACTGGCAAACAGCTCATTTGGCTTTTAGAATTACATTTATGTCACCTAAAGAAATAAAATAAAACCTTTACATGTGATTATACAGCTTCTTTGTAAAGGTCACTCCCATTTATTTTTCTATTTGTTCCATTAGGTTGCCTATCCACAATAAAAATAAAATTGCTTCTTTTAAATGATCACAAGTACAAGAGCTTTTAAGCCTGTTCTAGGCATGTAGAACTTCTGAATTAAACATAACTAGAATTAAGTGTGGTAGTAAAAAACTCATGGTACATACTTCCCAACCAATTTCAGGGTATTTGATTTATAAAGATTCTGAGAAGTTCTTGTGCATAACCTCATATCTGTGTACTTTACCACAAGGACTTGATCAGTCAAGAAGGATATTAGGCAACTTTTTTATTACCAGCTAAGACTAATGCTATAAACTCTGGGATTAAACAACATGTACAGACTCATGTCTGGACATTTCAGTTTTCAAGTCACATTGTCAGAGCTCATTTATAACATTCTCCCCCTTGAATACAGTGTAGATTTACACACTGTCATTTTCAAGAAGAAGTGGTCAAGCTGAAATATTTTCACAAGATTTGCTGTATAATAGAGACAGATTTCAAGAGTATCCCCAACTTACTCCAAAACTGTAAGGGATTTTCTCTCATCTGTGTCAAAGCAATAACTCATTAACACTTTAAAAAAGAGTGGGGAATATGTTTCCTTTTCCTAAAGGCATAGTTTGAATGTAAACTTGTCTTAAAATTGGTATTAATATACTTGCTCACTCTTCACAAGAAACAATTTCAAAAACATGCCTTTATATTACATTTTACTTACATGAGTCAATGTGGTTTTTACTAAGATCAATCATGGTCCAAGGGAAAACCAAAAGCCACTTGTCTGTTGCCTTTCTTCCTCCTTGCATTCATTTGTTTAATTTATAAAGTTAAAGCTTATTCAATTTGTTTCTGCTACCATTGGGAGTCATGGGAGGCAAAGGGCATGCCCTGTGCAGGTGGGTGCCACTCAGTTTGTCCATGGTCAGCATGAGCCAGATGTGACCCAGCTCTTCTCTGCAAACACAGAGGTGGCATTAATGGGTTGTTAAATGCAACCCAAATTGTCTAGCTGAGAAACTGGAAATAGAGCAGGCGACACTGCTGGATGGCTTCCTGGCCAGGGCTGGCCAGTGTCAGGTTAGCAGAGAGCAGGGAGAGTGTGATCTCAGTCATGCTTACATCCCCCCAAGTGCTCCTCCAAAGCCCAACCCAAAGTGGCTTCCTCCACTGGGAACTTGCTTCAGTCTCTATTCAGCGGGCCATAAGGAGAGTAGCCTGTCAGCCCCTTTGGCCTCCATCCTTCTGGCTTTAAATTTCCTTGGTTTTTAGCCCTTTTGTTACATTTTAATATATTTTGGAAGAACAGTTAAAAATCAGGAAATTTTCTACTATTGCAAATCATGGACACCACCTTTGTCACCCAGTATTTGATTATGGAGCCTGTAATTTTTACTGTACGGTTAGTTTGAGCTTACAGGGATAAAAAGATCCCCAATATGTCTCACCTTCTCTGGGTCCTGGTTTCACTGCAAGAGAAACACTGGGGGCTTGGCCCATGCCAGGCATGTTGAATTATTATTTTTTTGTCTGAGAACCGGGAATGTTTTTGAGCATCTTAAGACAAGTTCAGTGCATGTGTTTTCCTTTTTATCAGTCAGAGAGATTCTAGAGAGATTACTTTCTTTTTCAGTATTACCAGAATGTTGTACAGATGTTGGTGTTTTTTATACTAATGGGGTATTTGCCACTGATTTTAATGAGGACAAGATAAGGGCCAAAATCCTAACTGAAAGGATGTTTTTTAAAAAAGAAGAATTATTTCATATGAATTGGTTGTGCTTTATCGGGCTAAACTGTATGCTCTGTGTTAAGTATTTGTTTTTAACTGGATAAGGCCAAAATCAGTTTAGTTGGCAATTATTCTTAAAAGAAGATACCCTTAGAAAGTCTTCATAAAAGAATTGTGCTAAAACCTTGGTTTTAAGCACAGTTTAATTTCTTTTTAATTAATCCTGCATATTTTTAAAATCTATTTGATTGTAACATTGGACAGAAATTTCATCCTCAAATAAAATACCTTGGACTAAGAGACTATATTCTCTGTCCACATTAAACTAGCTTTTAGATGATGTGACATATACTTTTGTTTGTATAAAATAGATTGTGTGTACTATGCTACCCTATACACCTGTTCTTCATGATCCCAACCACAAGCCTCTTTCACTCAGACTCTGGGAGTTATCTTATTGCTATTTTTGTCTTTGATTCCAACCATGCATATTGATCAATCTTAAAATTTATAAGGACTTCAACTGTAAAAATGTCAAAATATGCTTGGGAAACTGACTGTAGAAAACAGGATCCAAATAATTTTTTCCTTACCATTTTATCAGTTAAAACAGAAAGGTAAAAACATTAAATAAGAAATAGAAATGTATTTAACTATTTATTCACTTGAACACTGTCCAATGGCCTATGAAACATCTAAGGTTAGCATAATGAAGGTAAGAAAGAACAGGTTATCTTCCTATACAACTTCAGATTTACTTTGAAGTTTAACACCTTAATATGTGTTATTTTTACTAGTGGTAAATCAGTTTTTCCTTTTGATTTTACTGATGTTTCATAAGGTGATCAGTGGGAAACAGTACTGAAACCATATAAAAAAATTGTAATCCCCCAAACTGGTATTTTTTTGTGACACATTTTTAATTAAACTACTTATCTGCAGTTTTATGTTACAATGTGTACCCTTTTTTATTTGTAGTGGCCCTTGATTATATTTTGTAAATGACTGTGAAATGTTGCTAGTACAGCTGCAGCAAAACTTACATTTTTCTTATGGAGCTTGAGAGCCTCGTCCCCACCTGCACGCCACTGTCATTGCCAAGCCATGGAGCCATACATTTCTGTTAAGACACAAATAAAGTTTGAATTTAAGATCTTAAGTTATTTTCTCTAAGTTATCTCCACTGTGTATTCTCTTTTACCTTAAAATATTTTAGAATATTTTATATAAAATGTCCATAAAACTTACAATATCTTGTAGTCCAGAATGATAGGGCAGCCAAGCCATTTTCTTAATAAAATCATCAGACACTGCTTTCATTGTTCCTCATAACACACACAATTACAAACACTTAAGAACCCATGCCATTCAACTATTATATAGTCTTCAGTGCCTTCAGACCTAATCCAAAGTCACAGAAAACAACACAATATTTTGTTGTTTGTATGGAATTGTTCCGTGCACTTCAAAAAGGGGTATCTCTGTCTTTTTTTTTTTTTTAACTTCAGGAGATTGGCTGGCTCTGAGAGCTTTGAGATTTCCTGTGGAAATTATGAGGGCATTAAATATTTTCATCTTTTAGGTATTCTTAAAAATCTATGTTTCTGTAAGTGTTTTTGCACCCCTATCTGATTGAGAAAATGAAATTCTCCCAGCAAAAAACAATCTACATGCGCAGACTTAAAATTCACTCAACATTATTCTAGTTATGAAGTTCAAAAAGGCTTAGTTGTCAAGGAAAAAAGCTGATTTTGCAGTTATCACAGAGGTAAAAATAGCCAGATGGAGCTGCTCCTAATGGAATTAGGTGTTACTGTCAAAAAACGAGGGGAAAAGATATTGCTTTTAATCTTTCAACCATAAACCATTATATTGTACTATTATAACAATACTATTCAATTTTATAAACTGTCATTTGTAATAAAACAGTAAAGTTCTCTACATTTGCTGTAGATTTACAGCATATCTCCCCAGTTTAGTTCTGGAAAGCATTTGAGGTGACCTATTGCTGGATTTTGCTCATTACTTGAGACAGGGTTGAAAGCCAGACTTGGATTTATTACTGTCACCTCATCTGAGGGAATGGCCCCTGGCTTTCAGAGGTTCGAGGTATTTTTGCTTCTGCTACACTGAAGTGTTTCACTATCGCACTGAAAATACTGCAGTGATTCACTATTTAGTTTTGTTCTGGTGTATGAAAGGCCTGTGACACGTATGGACAAAATTACCTTATTGGCTTGATTTTCAGGAGGTAGCAAATGCTCAAAATTCTAACAGCACACTCTCTTTTTCTTAGATTCAATTTTCCCTCTCCAGGCTTCTGGTACTCTGTCAGGAAGTTTCAGATCTAACTGGGTCTTCCAAAGGTCTCCTACTATTCTTAGTGATTTGTACTTGAGGTAAAACCCTGGTCCTACTGAAAATAAAAGCAGCCTTTGATTTTGTATTACTAGTAAAATGTAGCCAGGAAGCCAAAGGAAAAGAAGCACCCAATAAAAATGAGAATCTCATTTTGGAATCAAGCCAATACACATTCCTTGCAGAAGTACCAACAAAATAGCTCATGCATTTTCCCTGGCTTAAGCTTTACTATCAGATACATAGCTAAAGCCTGCTTTTCCCCAATTTGAAACAAAACCAGGAGGCTACACCCAGTTGATTTCCGTGATCACAACACAGACTTAGACAACTGTATCATCACACCTGAATGGAAGCTGTGACATGGGGCAGATACAAGTGGTCAAAGAGTTCAGCTGAGTGGTCAAGTTGTTGCTGCTGAAGTATTTGATCCATCAAACAACAGCTTCAGGGAAGAGCTGAGAGAAGAAAAGAAAGCCAAAAAAGAAAGGGCACCTTCTTCTGCTGTTATATGACTTCAAAAATCTGGATGAGCCTTGCTTTCTTAAGCTTTTTGTTACCTTTGTGTAGTGTTACCAGAAATCTGGTTTGTTTTAAGAGAAAGAGGTTGTTGTTCCTTGCTATAAAGTTAGCTGCTTGACTAAGTTTCCATTGTGGGATTCTGATTTAACTTTGGAACAAATCTAAATCACTCTTTGGGACCATAGAATTAAGCAGGGCTGCTGGGGCCTTAAGGCTTAGTACTGAGGTAGAAATGTCCTGGGTCTCAACCAACATAAGGGCTGAGTGAGTGACAATACCCACAGACACTAGGATCTAAAGAAAATCCCCTTGGTACAACCTATGACAACAGGAAGCGTGCCTGCCTGTCCTACAGAGTCAGATCTGGTAAGATGGGAAATAACTAATGGGCTTTTGGGGTGGTGAGGATGAGACCACCCTCCCTGGACTCTCCATGAAGGTTGGCAGAAGAAAAGGATGGCACTAATTTTAAGGGTAACCAATTCTTTAATTTTCATTAGGAAGCAGGGCAGTGGACTCGACAGCAAGGGAATGGGAAATCTCATTCCCAAGACCACTAAAACAGCATTAGTTCTGATTGGTTGGCACAGGGAAGTTTGTTTTCCTTTCCCCTTTAGTACATCTCTTTTTAGAGAGTTATTTGTATTTTTGATGTTTCCTGATACACCTAGATCTAGTAACAACTTTTTTTTTTTTTTTTTTTTAAAGGGATGCTTATGTTGGAAGGACTGGTTTGAAGTAGTAAGAAAAATTCTCAGAGGATTAAAATTCACTGGAAGGCCAAACTAATTTTTTTCCTAATTCACAATTGAGAAAACCTATGATTTGCTTAGAAGGTACCCAGAATTTCTGAGGTGCAACCACAAAGAACTAAAATTAGATTTACACTTCAAACCATTATCCTCATTTCCAGACAGGTCACTCACATTTTTTGGAATTAACTTTCACCTGTATGAGACCTCTCCCCTTCTGTCTAGTCTTTACTTCTGGCTACAAGGAGCTTCTCTTGCAGCCGTTTCTCTATTCAGCTTCTTGATAATGTCATGGGATGGAGATTTTCAAAATCCCTATAGACGTATGTAATCAGAAAAGATATTAAATTTGCATTAGTAGCAGTCAAAAAGGCACATTAACTGTCTTGCCTTTCCTGAGCAGCTAGGAGTGATGTCCAAATATTTTCTTTTGCAAAAGGCTCATGTCTACAACATCTGAAACCCTCACCCCAGTACTTTTGACTAACTCGTTGACACGGAAAGTAAATCTCCTGTATTCTCATTATGGTCATCAGTAGGGCTACCTATCCAGATTTCAGATGATGTTAACAAATTATGTTACGTAACTTAAAGCTACTGCATTATTTTCACTCTGAATTCACAGCTACAGCTAACTATACAAATCCAGCTATTTTGGATTTTGAGTCATGTTTTTAATGGTTCATGATCTCATGCTGTCACTGTTGATTGTAATATGATAAAACATTGAAGTTCAAAAGATACATTTACTTTAACTGATTTAATCCGTTACTTACAGTATAAGGTTTTTCCTGAATTAATATATTAGTCTGACTACTATAAATAGTACCTGCTTTTTTACTGATTAATGTTTTGGTGTGCTCTTTCTGGAAATAGGTATTTATTTTGTAAGACCTTATTTAGAATTCAGAAAAACAGGTCTTTACTAAGGAACCTTGCATACCCCAGGAGCCCCTCAGGAGCATGTGCGTTGACCTACTCAGGTGGAGGGATATAATAGTCAGCAATGGCTAAGAGTTTATGAACTGCTTTGGACAACGAGCTTTTTTTATGTAGCTGGAAATGAAGAGACCATTTAGCTTATCTTTTCACCAAAGACATCCAAAGAAGCGTTAAGTAATGTGTCACAATATGCAATGTATTGTCTTCATCTTTAGCTATTGTTAACATTTCCGACTCACCTTTTAATTTGCTAGCATTTATTTTTAACTAGTAGGTCAATACAAGTCAGAGTTGGGGAGACACATAGATAAAGCCTGCATGATAACTGCACCAGCCCTAAATATCAGCCAGAGCTATTTTTCATTCTGCTTTCCTGAGCACCAAATTCATGCAAGTTCAGAAGTGCAAGAGGTAATGATTATCACAGACATTTAATTTCTGAGAATGTGAAGAGAACAGAGTATGCGATTAAATCCTCATCTGGTTTTAATAATTGGACTTACCAGCAGATTTACAGCAGCTGAAGATGTGTTGTTATCTCTAAAATTAGATGCTGACCTGATTTTTCAATGGAGAAATAACTAACAGACAGCGAGACTATATTTGTATTACTAATGAAAATGTTTTCTCACCCAGGCTTTCAGTCCTGGACTTGGCCTATGTTTTCTTCATATGCTCAGACTTTTCTCACATTATACCAGGTCTACCAGCAACATACATTATCATAATGACCTCATTCTCATGTAGTTCTTTACATTTCTCAGAATCTGGAGAATGAAGGACCAATTCATTTGGCTAGGATAAAATTAAATAGGCACTGGGTCCAGAAAAATTGGAAACTTATTTGTTGATGCTGGCTACAATAACTATCTATTTATATTGTATTGTTTTTCTTTGCAATACACCATTACAAGTTGGAAAACACCCTAAAACTTAAAAACGAGCTCAGAGTACTACAGTCCAGAGCACTAGCATTACTTTTGACTAGAGCTATTGACAGCATCAATTAACTGTATTAAATAGTGCAGAAAATGTAAAAATTAGACACATCTTCGTTTTGAATCAAGCCCTACCTTGTGTTGTAAGTATACTTTTAAAAGTATAGTAAAATACTTTTGTATACATACAGTGTGGCAACTACAACTGCAGGCTGCAAGAGAAATGTCCTGAGAAAATGTTCTAGCTTCTGCATGGCAGGCAACAAGGAAATCAAACTTTGAATGGGAAGAAACAGATCCTGAAGTAGGAGGAAAGTAAAATTCACAGCTTGTTCACCACATGCCTAAGTAACCTAAATTATGCCAGTGACAAGAATTAAAATGAGATGCGTAGCATTGCATTAATACTTTGCATGCTAATAACAGTATTTGACCTCTATGTAGATGTTAGACACAAATTTTTCATAGTTTCCATAGATTTATAAATCCCAGCACATAATTTTTCATCCATTGTTCTAAAAAAAAGCTTATTCGAAAGCATCATTTAGGAAGGATTTTTAAATTATTTTTGGTTTGATAGAGATTTGATTTGAACAGAGAATTTCTGCATCTTCTCTCATTTTCATAAGAAATAATAGCTGCTCATGAAAGCCAAGTCAGTTCCTCAAACAACTTGAAACATTTTGAAAGAACTTGTACTGAAGAGAATCAGATAATTGTTTTGTCACTGCAAGGGTTAGAAAAGCCTTTAACTGACAAAAAATCATTTACAATTTTACCCACAATTTCAAAATATGGTTTCAGTATAAAAATGAAGCTACTTAGTGATGTGGAAAGGCTAACAGTATGTCTTGTTTACTATAATTAGACAATAGTTTGTTGCAACATTTAAAATTTAGACCCAGAGGCAAAAGGTGTTCTTGTCTTATTGGTACATTTTTCACATAGTTAGGACTGTTTTATTTAGTAAAGTTAGTATTGCCAATTTACATCAATGTAAGGAAACATAAAATCTGTTCCAGTGGTTTTCATTTACCACTGCATATGCAAATCCTCATCTTTAATTTAACTGGAAGATCTTGAGGGAAATATCTCATTTGTAAATGACAGAGAATTCCAGTGGGGAAAAAAAAACCAAGAAAAATGTGAGTTTCACCTTCATCCATACTGCTTTCCAGGGAGGTTGTTAACTCACCAGCAAGGAATGAAGATCTCATGTCAGTCAGTGAGAGAGATTCTCTTACATCCATACAGAAGGAGTGACTCATGGACATGTGTTGGATAAAGCAGTGCCAGAAGATTAATGAAAGAATTAAAAGAAACTCCATGATTAAAAATTGGACATAGGTCCTGTAACTTTAGTATTTACATTCTGATACACAAGATTAAACAATCATTTTATGACAAGATTTCATTTTATGCAATATTTTCATCATAATTGGTAGAGGCAGAATGAAAAAAAAAATCTATTTTAAGTTTTTTAATGAGCTGATTTTATTTTTTAGCATGCAGAGCTCTGAGAAACTGAATAGCATTACCAAAGCCAGATTAGCATATGGGCAGAAACTAGGTAAATCAAGTTCCCCATGTCAGCCAATTATGTTAAATATGTGCTGATTTGCTGGTGCAGGCAGATATCCCCACAGCAAGTGTCACTCCACCTAAAATTTCACAAGTTGGAATTAACATCCATACCACTCAGCACATGTCTCACCTGCTGTGTGTGACTCTCAGTCACTAGTGGACTCTCTGTGACGTCTTTTGGTGAGCAGTTCTGTAGCTTGAGTACTTGATAAGCTAAGTTTTGGCCTATTAACTGCTAGTTTCATTTGACCCTGTACAAGAAAAGACAGAATGATCACTTCCACTTTCTTCTGACAGTTTCACAGGCTTCAGCTAGACCCTCTCAGAAATCTCTTTTATAGCTTGACAAGTCCAAGTCTACAAAAGCTGTTCTTTGTATGCAAGCTCTTCCACACTTTCAGACATCCTTCTCTGACCCTACTCCAGACCCTATACCATTTCCGAGATGGGAGGACAAGGTCTGCGCAGGGCAGGCAGGACATATGCACCTCCCAGAATATACAGTGGTATACTGATGCTCTGCTTATTGTCTGTTAAGCACATACCAGACTTACCAAATGCAGATAGTTCTCACTGTCTCATTTTATACTTTTGTAACTTGAAAACAGACCATTTCACAGGTAAGGGATTTCTTCTGCAAACTATATTTCCAAATAATTTGTTCTGCTTGGTGGTCTGTATAAGATAGTAGGCCTCCACATACAGGCAGGAAAGAGACAAATGTTTCAATTGCGTGTGAAATTAAGGCTCTTATTGCTTGCTAGTAGCGAATCAGGAAAAAACCACACTTAACTCAAAGTGGAATGGGACTATGAAGTGAAAACAAAATGAAATTCACCCTAGTAGGACAAACACATTTTGATTATGGAAGAAAACATTCTTGGCTATGTCTTTTGAAGTGAGTGAGATCTGGGAAAGAAGGGAAGCTTGGTCTGGTTTTGATAGAGATTTCAATACCATCTAGAGACAGAGGAGAACTCATTTAGAAATACAATAAAATTTGGAGCAGTCTTCATCATGAATAGGATTTGAATAGTACCATATGTATGAATCTCTAGATATGAGCAATACTTACTACATGCTGCACAACTTGTGCTTCCATCCAGCCCCTAATATATATAAAATGAGAAACATAACCCTTTCTTCATTCTCTTTTACCCATTATGGATGAAATTACAAGCCCCTCATGGACAGTATAAGCTCCAAAGCAAGGATCGATAGTTGATTCAGTTGAAGAGAGTAAACGGTCCACAGATATTTACAAATTCAAAAATCTAGACTCAAAAGAAGGTAACACAATAGTAAGGTGTGTTTTTTAAGAAGCTGTATCTCAGCAATATGCCAACAGTATATATTAAAATCAGAGACAAGAGTTAAGAACGCTCTGAAGGTAAGTGTGGGAAATGAACTTAGTCACCAGCTATTCACAGGACAGACCAAACTACTTATAAGTGGTGAATTCACCAAGAATTTACACTGGCTAGGAAATGGATGGCAACTGCTAACATGAAAACTCATCTTAAAGAACCTATGCAGGCTTGAACAACCTTATCCTGGTTTGAGGTAGAACAGAACCAACTTTCTGCTCAGTAGTTTTACTCCTTAGCTAGGCCCCTTCTAACTCTCTGAAATTAACAGCATATCGTGCAAAAAACTGTTCATTCTCATGTGCTTATGGTAAATGCCAAGGAATGGTATGCAGAGAGACTCTTGGCCAAGAAGGCCAGTGGCATCCTGGGGTGGATCAAGAAGAGTGTGGCAAGCAGGTCGAGGGAGATTATCCTGGTGATGCCCCATCTGGGGTATTGTGTCCAGTTCTGGGCTCCCCAGTTCAAGAAGGACACAGGACTGCTGGAGAGAGTACAGCAAAGAGCTACAAAGATGATTAGGGGATTAGGACATCTGTCTTATGAAGAACGGCTGAGGGACTTGGGTCTTTTTAGTCTGGAGAAGGGAAGAATGAGGGGGGATCTGATCAATGCCTATAAATACTTAAAAGGTGAGTGTCGAGAGGATGGGGCCAGTCTTTTTTCACTGGTGCCCCGTGACAGGACAAGAGGTAAGAGGCACAAACTTGTACATAAGAAGTTCCATCTAAACATGAGGAGGAACTTCTTTACTTTAAAGTTTGGCAGAGCAATGGAACAGGCTGCCCTGAGAGGTGGTGGAGTCTCTGTCTCTGGAGACATTTAAAACCCACCTGGACACTATTCTATGCAACCTGCTCTAGGTGGGCCTGCTCTAGCAGAGGGGTTGGACTAGATGATCTCCAGAGGTCCCTTCCAACCCCATATCATTCTGTGACTCTTGCTTAAAGTTATTGCTATAACAACAAAGGCCAGCTAACTTCATTATTTGCCCTGCTGGATGGTTGGAAATGGAAAAGCATAGAGGAGCCACACCTGTGGGGAGGAGTGAACAAAACAGGTGATCAAAAATTGACCAACAGGGTATTCCACCCCATCTGCTTCATACTCAGTATAAAAGCTGAGGGATGAAAGGGTCAGCCCTCTTTCTTCAATGGCTGATGTCCGAGGAGAACCCCATCTCTTCATCTCCCTTTGATTCCGATCTGAGCATTCCTGACTCCAGGGCTGGAATACAGTTCTGATTCATCACTGAGTCTAGTCTGGGACTTCCCCCATACCTGCTGGTGACGTCATCCTGGAGCTTGACCCTCTTTCTTCAATGGCTGATGTCCGAGGAGAACCCCATCTCTTCATCTCCCTTTGATTCCGATCTGAGCATTCCTGACTCCAGGGCTGGAATACAGTTCTGATTCATCACTGAGTCTAGTCTGGGACTTCCCCCATACCTGCTGGTGACGTCATCCTGGAGCTTGACACAGTTTTGTATATATTGTATCTATTTAATTATTTCATTTTCACTATTAATATTTCATTAAAGTAGTTCAGTTCCTTCTAAAGTCGTAAATCTTTTTATCTCTCTCCTTCCCCTCCTCCAAGCAAGAAGTGAGGGAGAGCATCTGTCATCCATCGTTGACCAGTCCAGCCCAAACCACAACTAACCTCAATTTAGATTGAAAACTAACTTGCACATAGTGAACAGCCACCTAAAGAGATCAAGAAGAGATAGGAACTAATATGGTTGAGGTTAACTTATTCTGAGTCCTAATTATTTACTTGCTATGACCTGTAGAAGCAGACAGAAAGGGATTCAGTGCAGAAAAGTAAATAAACATTCCTCCTGATGCCTGCAGATTCCTCTTTGCAAAAGTGGGCAGAGAAGAAGACAGAAGTGGATCAGGATAGTGTTCTGTTTCTTTAAAGGCATGAATCTCCTTTCTGAAGAAGGAAACTCTTCTTAATCAGACTTCGAATACAATGCTGAAACACACACAAAAAAAATTTAATGGTCTGTGTTAACAACTAAAATAGTGGATAAATATGATCTTTAGTGAGACACTAAACAGATTTAAGTATGACACAGACTAAGGCATAGGAGCAAGAAAAGTAAAATGGTGTCATTCTGCAGTGATAAAAATGTACAAATGAATGACACTTTCTTGTAATTCACTAATTTAGCCAAGGAATAGGAAGGCATTAAAAAGATAACAAGTGGGGAGTGGGGAGAGAACTGTCACACTTAAACATTTTAATGGTATCTTAAGGTTCATTACTTAGTTTTAGATATTAGCCAGAATACTTTATAAATCACTCCTGCTATCCAGAACTGACTCATCAATCCATAGTCTAGATAAGTTTCTCTAACCTCTAATTGCACAACCTTACTTCAGATGAGCTCTGTGGCTACAGAAATTCTTTGAGCTGGAACTAAATTTGATTTAGATCATTGCATTAGAGAGATTTGGAAAGTGTTTCTACAAGTGGAGCAGAATGAGAATTTACATTCTTCTCTCTATGAAACATCCACTAACACCTTTTTTATCACATTAGTTATAATAGAATGACACCTACAGAAAATTCATCTTCTCATTCCCTCTCCTCCACCTTTCACCATTTCTTTGTCCCTTGAGACAGAGCCCATGTGGCACTTCAGCACCCAGGGAGAGATACGGCTTGTAACTACTACCACAACAAAATAACAATAGGCAGCAGTGTTAGAGATTGAGGAGGTACGGAAAAAATTCAACACTGTATATACACCAAGGAATTTCAAAAGGGTTTTTCACAGGTCAAATCCTACCACAGTGTTTCTCTCTTCAATACTCCTATATTCATTTAGGCAGATTAAATAAAAGTGAAAATAAATTTTACAAAGTAAGGTAGAATATAAGTGCTCTGTCTTGGCCACATTAGATTTGTCGGTCATAAATAGCTGTAAGTATTTTCTACTGTTAGCAAACATTTTGCTTTTGATCTTTACATAGACAAAAGACACAAAATCCTTCAAGACCTATTCAGCTACTTTATAAATCTAAGCTAAAATATCCACAGACAAAATATTAAGAAGAAAAATACACTAATGTTACAATTTCACAAGCTGTTACTTGGAAAATCAGTTCATACCTACAGACCTTTGCTGTGCCTTTGAACAGTGAAACGGTTTCTGTTTTAATACTTGTTTTGTTAGTCTGGTCTATTTGATTCTACTCCCCGATACATACTGGTGTATCCTCATGTACCTCCTAACACTTCCTGTCCATTTGAAAGAGATGCATCAGGTACTGGCTTTGTTGTGGTTTAGCTTGTCTCACAACTCTTCTTTTAAGAAATGTCAGCCCTCCACTGACAGGCAGGAGTCCAGTTTCCAT